GTGTTTTTTTATAGGGTCATTTTTGAGTGCTTTTGCTCAGGGTACCAAAAACCTCAAGGCCGACACTAGTGACAGAGAAAGATGGCGGCGGTGAGGGGTAAGTCGTGGCTGTGGATGGAGGTCGGCAGTAGGAGAGGCTGTTGTCAGGTGGAAATAAGTTGGGTTGAAATGGCCAATTTTTCTAGCACAACAAAATTGCAAACCACATGTCCCAAATTCGTAATTATTTTGATTTTAGGACCAAGTTCGTTAAGGACACTAAACTAATGGGACCAAACATGTCATTCACCTAAAGTTATACTATGTGACGATGAATCGTGTAATGGGTTGTCGGGTTGAAATGAGTTAGGTTTAAATAGGCCCGTTCTTTTGAATTTAACATGATAAAAACCAGTTTTTTTCATGCCTATTGAAGCCCATAAACACCTTTTTTTGAACCAAATAAAGCCCAAAAACAGCTTTTTGTGAACCAAATAAAGCCCATACCGGTCACTGTTCCAACTAGTCATAGCCAAAAACCGGTCCTGGGCCGGACCAGGCCTAATCGGTCCAAAGCTTTCTCATTACCGGTCATAACCGGTTCCGGTCCCAGTCGAAAATGGTAGGACCGGTCAAGGTAATTCATAACCGGTTATGGGCCGCCGGTTCCGGTCCCGGTCCCGGTCCCAACCGGTCCCGACATTAAAAAATAAGATTTTTTAAATTTTTTTTAATGATATATATTTTTAATACATTATAAAATTTACAATTAGGTCACTCAAATACACTTTAAAAATGCGTTTTAATATAATTAAAATTACATTGTCTTATAAAAGTACATTATAAAATTATTTAACAATACATTTATTTATAAAAAATTTTGAATTTTCGGGCCGGGCCGGTCCATAGCCGGTCCCGGTCCCACGAAACTACCAAAAATCCCAACCGGTCCTGGTTTTTGGTCCCATAACCGGTCCTTACCGATCCCGGGCCGATTTGGCCATCACTAGTTCCAACTTGATAAAGCGAAGACGGGTTATAGACCGGCCCGATTTTTAGTTTTTATTAAACTAGTTATTTTTTTAGATGGATCATATGGGCTTTTCGGATTAAACTAGTTTTTATCGCTCAACCTGAGCCGAACAGACCTATTCGATAAAATTTTATTGTTTAACAAGTATATACCAAAGAAAAGTCCAATCCAATCAATAGAAGTGAAAATAACAAAAAATGTTTGGTTTTTTATTGATTACTGCTTAACAAACATCCCCTTAGTTTTTAAATCCTGATATCCAACCTTTCACATACTAATTTTGCATGGTGTCAGGCCACATACTAATTCCTCCGGTTTAACCATGAATGAAAAATGCGGATTTTGATAACAAAATTACATTAAAAAAAGAATAACAATTCTTTATTTGGGTTTATATTTTAGCGAAGGTAATTCCAAAAACTCAAACCTACATAATGACTTTTATTTATTTATTAAATATAAAAGACAAACTTTAATAATGAAACAAAATACAAGACAAGAATTCTAAAAAAAAACAAATTTTAGTAATAAAATAAATTCAAGAAAACGAAAAATAATGTAAGACAAGTTTTAACGATAAAAACAAATATTTGTGTGACTCTGATGTGCAGTTCGGTTGGTAAAGTTGTGGGACGACGGACGACAACCATAAAGGTGGTGCATGATTGATTTGAGCTTGACTCCAAAGTAGCAGGAGATCTCAGGTTCAAATCCAAGGAGGAATAAAAATTCCTTTGTGGCCACGGAGGTTCAAATGCGGTCCACGGAGGTATCTGCAAAACAGGTGATCGTCCTGGATTAGTCGGCTCGCATAACGAGTCGGATATCCAGGTTAATAAAAAAATTGGTGGAACGACTTTGTCTAAATACAAGACATATTCCATATAGTCCACATACAATACACATTGGATTTAAACAAATACAATAAGTTTAACACCTCATCAATCAAATTAAAAACATTATAAATTTATAATCATGACAAGAATATGTCACATACTTTATTAATGATTCAATAAGTAATATTAAACACACACATATATACACACACATGTAAACATGGCTGGTTTTTTTTAAAGTAAACGGTTGTCGTTTGCTTCTAACACTGTAAGGTTGGTCAAGAGGTTGTGATGGTAGCGTTTATTTCAGTATCCTTCACTTCTCGACCAAGAAAGTGATGGACCTCGTGGGACGTGGACGTTGAATCAAATAATTGTGAAGCTAAATTAACACATGTAAAAGGTTATTTAGATTGATGAAATTCAATGAATATAAGGGGCTGTTAACCAAACGCTTACCCGGTAAGTGTTACAGATAAAATTAACACTAGCTTTTATTTACCGGGTAAGATTTTAATCTATCAAAACGGTATCGTATGCATTAATTTACCCGGTAAGCGCTTACCATGGTAAGAATCGTCGCCCTCACTTTCCGGGTAAGAATTTGGGTCATTCTCTTGCTTATATCGGGTAAGATTCTTGGTCCCTACCATATTCATCTGGTAAGGTAATGTGACTTGGTAAGTGCTTATCCAGATAAACGTTTGGTAAACGGCTCCTAAATATGTATATATATATATATATATATATATATATCTAATATATTAGGAGTCGGATTATTATAAATAGAACACGCTTACCCAAAGGATTTACACCTCCAAATGTTGACATAGTATAACGCACTACTTTACATCCAATGTTCTAAAAGGCGCACCCGGTGTCAAGACGGTAAGACGCGTCTCCAACGTCTTGTTAACCTACATACTCGTTGTCTATGGTGTGGCGTTGTTTTTTCTTGCCATAGGGCCACGATTCACTTTGTTTTTTATATAGTTAACTGTGTAATAGTGTACCATAAAGTTGATGTCATATAAACCCGATTTTGTTGTAGTATAAAACATAAATGCATGTATGTTTTTTTAATTTTAATCTCTTACTTATTAGTTTTTAATATATATCTATACTACCGTATAAACCATATTTATCAAAAGTCTTAAAAACAATTTTTAATGCACAAAGTACTATACATTTATACACAAAGTCTTAAAAGTCTTAAAAAACAACTCATAATGCATTAAGTACTACTTTATGAATTCAGTTTTAAAATCTCTTAACCTACAATTAAAATAACATATACTACAAGTTACCAATGCACATTATTACTTTTTCTTTTCATGTTCACAAGATTCTTTTGATATCTTTCACTCATGCATTCACCCTCTCATACTTCTATGTCTTCTCCTCATCCCCCAATGTGAGATTCAAACTGATATTCACCATGAATTATTAAAAGTTCTCTCACTCATCTCTCATTCAATTGCTCTAGAACTCTCGGTCTCGATCTCTTGATTATTGCTCTTGGTGTAAATCGAACACATTTATGAGATCATTTAAATATATTGGATTTTAAATTGTCATACAATTTTTTTCATTGATAGACTGTATAGTAATTAGAACGATAACTTTTATTTATTCAAATTGTATCAACATGTAAAGACCAAATATAATTTATATCATCGTTAAATCTTCTCTAATAAAACTAGTGAAACTTCAAAATCATTAAAATTCACGACTCCCACCACATTACACTGATACACAACTAGTATACTCTAATTTAAATTGTTTAATATCATCGACTGATTAATAATAAAATAATATTCTCAGTATTTACAAATTTGATTGTAAATTCTCTTTAATATCATCGTCAAATGTTCCGTCTCTTCATTATCGTCTTTCCGCTTTCGGTTCTTCTAGAAAACGAAATAGAGATATTACCTACAAATTACACTTTTTATCAGAAAAAGGAGTTACAAAAGCATCAACACGGCTGGTCAACTCATTTCAACGACCAAATCTTTAAATAATCAATGCAATTAATTAAATACATTATCTTGTAATACTCGTTAAAATATATTTTATTTTTTTATTATTATTATTATCAAGAATTTTATATCCTTTGATTTGGTACCCATTTCCATTAATACTCGTTACGCTAGTATTTATTAGAGTACCCCAAGGGTCTTTTGTAGGGTATCTTTATTAGGTGTAATCCTTTTTTTATTTTAACTAGTTGTCTATTTGTGTAATGCAACGGGATGTAAAAAGCTCATTAAGATTATTCAATTTTGAGATATTAAATTCCTTAAAGATGTAACAAAACTTACTATATTTGTATCTAATTTAGATTCAAATATACATCCATCCAAAATGTTGGTGTTAGTAGGTTCTACAATTATTCGTAAACCCTTAATCACAACCCGAATGACTGGAGCGGTGGAGCAAGATACTCGACCCGAATCACAACTCATCTCGAATATATTGAATCAAAGAAACCCTTAAAAGCAAATGGATTTGTTAATGTATACAAATACTGTAAATGTAGATCCGGAGCTCCAAAATGACAACCTTTAAAATAAGCAGCTAGCTCAAACCCTAGTAGTAAAATGGAAAAACAAAGGAAGACCTTTATACAAGTATAAAAACGTGTGGAAGTTGTAAAGGTGTCGGTGCGACCGGAGGAGAGACGGTGAGGAACGACGGAGGCAAAGAAGAATGTAGCTGGGGCAATGGAGGTGATTGGAAAAATCAATCGTGAATTATGAAAATCTGAGGTTTACATTTGAAATGGTAAGAGAGTTTTTGATGATAAGATGAAAATTTTGGGAACATAAAGGGTCAAAATTTGGAAGGGGTAGATGATTTAAATTTTCAATATCTATCGGAAACCAAATTACTAAATATGAGAAAGATAAAACTTAAAAGTATGCATTGTAAAAGGTGATGCATTGTTGAGTCGTACCATATGCATAAATGACTTGTACTTAAGACTTTATGCATAAAGAAGTAGTACTTTATATATTTAAGGTTATTTTTAAGACTTTTATTAAATCTGCTTTATAAGGTAGTATAGATAACGATCAAGTACAAATAATAAAGAAAGAAGTTTTATTATGATCAACATGTAGATAACAACACTTTTTAGAAAAAAGAAGAGAAAGAAAAGTCTTGGTCTTCATAATTTTAAAATGTGTAATGTTTGAACACGTTACCCACGACACGAGCAATCCCGTATGAATTAAATACTCAAAAATCTACTGGATTACAATGTAATTCATAACCTCACAAATCATACGTTCCAAAAGAATCGATCATACACTTACACTTTATTAATGCCAAAACAAATAATATGAAAGCATAATTCATGTGTGAATACATGTATATATATACACACTGCCAGAAACAAGAAACATTCTTTATCAACAATTAATCAACCAGACGATTCACGTTTGCTTCTAGCACTGTGGCAGGTCCGCCGGTGGTTGTGGCAGCGTTGATTCCGGCGTCCCTCCGTTCTCCACCAAGAAAGCGGTGCCCAACCCCCATGGCATATGAACATCCAAATGACAGTGCATAAACCAAACACCTGTAATGAAAATTCCATCCTCATCATTAAAAATTCAACCCATATATCTAAACAGATTATCGTCAAATCTTAATCATTCCCACCCACGTGATTCTTGGATAAATTTATAAAAGATATGGTCAAGAAATTCATGGTAAAAACAAAAAGTCAAACTGTAATAATCATGAGTTTAATTACCTGGATTATTTGCACGGAATCTGATGACAGCCCAGCCGCCGACGGGAACCCCAAGAGTGTTTCGTTCTTGTGGGTTGATCAAATTGAAGTTTGCGGTTGCGTTTTGGGGATTGTAGTTGCCAAATCCTTGAGCCAACACATAGAAGTTGAATCCATGCAAGTGCATGGGGTGATCTTCAATTCCGATCAAAGCTGTGTTCTGAAATACGATCTGAACCGTCGAATTATACTTCACTGACTTCAGGCTTGTTAATTTGGGTGTCATCAGAAGATTCAGATCAAAACTATTGCTTACGTTCGTGTAATCGAATTGCAACGGAGGTTGATCTGGGAAATCAGTTGTGTAAACCCCACTAACATTTCTTAAAGCCGCTTCCAGAAGAGAGATTCCTGTTGGTAAAACGAATGAATGATTGTTCATGCTTGCAGACAATCTTTGCCCAAAGATCCCTCCACATGTTTGGTTCGCACCACATGCCGCTAACCCCAGTCCAATGGTTATAAACATGTTTTCATCGACGGTTTGTGGAACTGGTTGCCAAAACGGGCTAGTGACAAGTGAGGTTAGATTGCTTGAAAACCGAAAGACAGTTGCTGTGTCGTTGAATGGAGGTAGGATCGGGAGAATTGGTGTAGATGATGTGGAGTTTTCGTAAACTAAGATTGCAGTGGTTGTGCCGTTATTGAAGGAAACACCGGCAGCACTGGCGTACGGGTGAGCCGCCATGTAATATGATCCTGGTGACTGGTCAGCTGTTATAAGGACGTCCGTGGTTTGACCTGGACCCAAAACGATTACGTCGGTTAAGAGCGGGTTCGTGTAGGCTGCATCCACACCAACCACGGTCATGTTGTGGTTTGCAATCTTGAAGAAGAATTGATTATTGAGCGCAGCGTTGATTATTCGTAAGAGATATGTTCTTCCTGGCACAACTTCTAGCCTGTATGTTTCTAATTCAAACAAAAACAAGAATTCGAACATTACCAATATGAACTAGAAATTGTAGTAATCATAAAATCGAAGGGGTCCGGATGTCAATCTGCTTACTGTTTGATGGGCAAGAGAACAAATCACCCGGCCATCCGTTGATCGTGTAAGCATCGGAGTTATTAGGCGCAGATCCGGTGGCTAGTGCAGAGTTCTCTACTTCAATAACGTCAGCATTCCACCATTCTCCTGAAACGTTTCAAAAGATCATATTAGTGTTAATATACACATGCATCTGAGTTATCAGTCATACAAACAACTACTTTCTGGAGCCAGAAGTCAGGTCTATGTATATCAAACAACGTACCTAACATAATGGTATCTTCTCGATAGGGTTTAACAAAAGGGTACTTTTGGCCTTCTCGTGGACGAATGATCAGAGCACCGTATACGGTTGCTCGGATCCATTGACTGTGTGCATGCCACCAGAGGGTGCCCACTTGTCCGGTTAGATTGAACCTGTACGTATAGTTATTTCCTGGCATGATTGGGCATTGAGTGACGAACTCAGGGCCATCGGCCCACGGAGTTAACCTTTGGAACACTCCATGCCTGCATCATAATCATATACACCATTAATTTGATTTCATTAAAGAAATATAAATGAGTTCATCACTGAGATTCATAATCAAACATTCAATAAATAGAAATATTAGTTACCAATGAATAGTAAGGTTGTATGGAGATCTATTGAAGACATGAACAACAAGGGTGTCACCCTCGTTAACCCTTAAAGTCGGCCCCGGAAGGCTCCCGTTGACCGCTGCGATTACTTGTTCTTGACATAATCGATTCACTGTTAAATTCTTCACCTGCACCCATAAAAAGAAATTATAAACTAACTGAGAAAATAGTTACATCGGATAACAACGGTTTCTTAGGTTAATTAAAACATATAAGTTTCTAAAAAAGGAAATGTTTTGTTACTTTTGATATTTCCCAAAAATCATTGATGTGACCAATTAAATGTTCGATTTTGATATCCGTAAATTATTCAAAACAGACACTTTTCTTGAACAACAAACCATTATATATATATATATGAATCTTTTTTCCATAATTAGAAAGCGGACGATTGAAATACAAGAAAGGAAGGTATTATTTACAAGAAACGAAGTCTCCACAATCGAAGCGGAGGTGATGGACACCGAGAAAGCGAGAAAAGCTAGCACGAATCCGACGGCAAACACGCGAGATGCCATTAACATAACTGTCGATGAATCAACTTCAATAAGGAAAAAAGAAGTATGAAATCCTTAAGATTTCGAAATGAGTTTGGTTCTTTGGGTATGGGTGTATATATAGAGCTGATTGCTGTATGTATATTATATATTATAGGGAAGACGATTGAGTAGTAGTGGGTAGTAGAACAACATTTGCCATGGATTGCGTGAAGGGCATGTGAGAGTTGAATTTTGCAAGGGTTTGAACGAGTTATATGATGATATGATGTTGCAGTTGAACCTTCCATCTTTACACAGCTGCTTCTGTTGACAATGGCTTAATAAAATCTGTAGTGGTTAGCAGAAATTAATTAATTATTATTTTATTAATTAAAAAAAACCAATCATGATGTTGGTAGTGCAACGTAATGGCGATGAATCGTCGCCGTCCGAATAGTTTTTTTATTAAATATTATTAAATCTTCAAAAGAAAATACAATACACATTCTATCTCATTATTCTAGAACGTGGTTGTGTGAATCACACAGACATTTGGATAAAATTGAAATGGATATATGATTTGATTCAGACTACGTTTGGATTGCTTATTCGTCAAGCTTTTTTCAGTTCTTGACCTTTTCTCAGATTAAGACAACAATGTTTGGTATCTTGGTCTGAATTCATGAGAACAAGTAGCCAATACATCTATACAGACATATGATTCAGACATAAGTCAAATGGTTTCCTTGGTAGACTATGATATACTTGTTTTGTTGTCCCTTGTTGCCTTGCAATGCATGTAGTTGGAGCTACCAACTTCATATTAGACTCTATTGCTTCACAAAGATTTAGAAGACGATTGAGCAACCGAAGAATTTGCGGTGACGGGAAAGACAGAACGGGGTTTACAAGCTTAGCGAGTCATTAGTTATACCGTTGAAACAATAACCACGACAACGATATATGTTGATTCATTTATGTTTAAAACTAGATTATATGAAAGCTTAATTAGAGGATGCATGTTAAGTTTTTAAAGGGTGTTCACACTTATTTTCTTTGTACATTGATCATAATGATTGCTTGCTTCTAAAATACAGTTACTCCAGGCTATCTGCAAAGCAGGTCGTCATCTTAAGATTAGTCGGCTCGCATAACGGGTTGAATATCCAGGTTAATAAAAAAAATGATTACTTGCTTCTATGGACAAAACCTTGGTAAAGCAATCATGGAAATCAAGATACTTGGAAATTGAAATATGAAGGATATTGAAATCGACTCAAATGTATAGGGTTTTGAAACGAACGGAAATGAAAAATGAGTTACTACCGTTTCATCTATGTAAGTCAACCTCCAATTAATCGAGATAGAGGGTTTTAAACCAATTTTCATTTACCTCTGAATTGTTAAGAGATGAATCTTGTTTGGCGAAATAAAATGTCTCTTAATGGTTTTAAAATCCTCTGAATTATTTTGTATCATGGATCCCTTTTAACCATTAAGAGCCCTAATTTTATTGTACATAATTACCAAACAATTATATTTCATTTTGCACTACATTATAAGAGTTTAATAATCATTCTGCACCAAACCATTCAGTAATTACCCAATCATCCCTTAAAAAGATTTTGAAGAGTGAATCTATGAGGGTGGCATGGCAATTTCATCATAAAAATCGTATTTAATTAATATTGATCAACTTGTAAAGAAGCTTCCTGCTTCCCACAAACGAAACCTTGCTCCTTAAGTTTCCTAACTCAATACTTTTCAAGTTTCGATAATTATAAACTTCTTTTTAACTGAAAAAAAAAAAAAAATCGCAATATTTTTGAAGTTGAAAAGTAAAAACACGTATTGTCAAAGGATGATAACAAATCGTATACTTTTTTTTTATCCATTTTCTATTTCGTATCCGCTTTTTAATATTCTTTTTCATTATCCATTATATATATATATATGGTTGGGTCCACGTGAGACCAAGGGTTTTTTGTAAAACCCGTAAGACCAATTTATGTTCATCAATCAATTTTATAAGCTAATGATCTAATGGTCTAAAGTTGCACGGTGACAATTTTGTGATTATTGAGAAGTCCTGTGACAATTTTGTGATTATGAATGTTTAGATTGTAGATCTAATCCAAAGGTTGAGAATTGGTTTCACGATAAACAATTGGTCTCACATGATCCAAAATCTCTCTCTCTCTCTCTCTCTCTCTCTCTCTATATATATATATATATATATAGGTGAGTTATTATGCAAACTTTTACATTTGTACAACCAATACAATTCAATCTCAACTGTCCATTTAGTTTGATGAATATGTGATTTCATAATATAAAATATTGATCATAATTAATGAACTCTAGTCATGTTTCATAAATATTGAAATCATAATAAATGAACTCTCATCATTTCCATAATCTCTCAATTGATTGGTTATAGAAATGGACATGATTACATTTAAAATATATCATATATATATATATATATAGAGAGAGAGAGAGAGAGAGAAAGAGGTTGGTTATTATACAACCCATGACATTTGTGCAACCAATATAACCCAATCTCAACCGTCCATTTCATTTGATTAATATATGATTTCATAGAAGTTTTGATTGTTTTCTAATATAAAGTATTGATCATAATTAATGAATCATATTCATCTTTCATAAATATTTAAATCATAATAAATGAACTCTCATCATTTCCATAAATATTTCAATTTATTGGGTTGCATTGGTTGTACAAATGCAGCAGGTTATATTTAAAACAATCTCTCTCTCTATATATATATATATAGGTGTCATGTTTGAACACACAGGTCAAACCGTGTACTTAACAACTACAATCCATTTTAATCAAAGACCTGTCGATGGTTCAATAAATAGCGACCAACATTGCAAAACAATAACTTACACCCTTATATATATAAAATTATATCATTATTATTAATTAATATATACTTTTTTTACCTATAAATTATATATAATAAAAAGATATATAATTTACTTGTGATATTATTTTCGAATCAGATATAATTAAATTTAAGTTTTAGTTTATAAAGATAACGAATAAGATTTCATTGGGTTGAAATTACGACGTTGAAAGTGGTTGAAAGGCATTCAAGTTTTTTAAAAGACTTAGGTAAAATAATACAAGTCCACACACGTTAAGACATTGCTGCTTAGAATAAGACTTTTGGATTAAAATGGGATTATAAAAATATTATAATTAATAAGATAATATAAAAACATAAAGAAAATTAAACAAGTAAAAAGGGGTGTGAAAATTTGCATTTATGTCGACCATAACAATTGATTCTTTTTTAGTGTTTACGATAACCGATGGTTTATTGACGACAAAGAAAATTCAACAACATAATCCGTGAATATTTTAGCAAGACATAAAAACCATGATGAATCATGTAGTTGTTGGTAAATTGTTACTGACCATAATTGTTGAAGAACCATCGGTAAATGGCCATTGATAATCAGATGACGATTTATCGAAATAACATGGTTTTTGTTTTTATTCGTTAAATAATACGAAGGCATTCCAATTAATTTGTGTGTTGGTTACTTCCATAGCAGAACGGTCGATAAATGTAGTCAGCAAGTCGTTAATGAGTTGATATACGATAGTTTGCTAATTAATGTAATAACCGGATCCTGGTTATTACTCAAGGTAATTTATATGTGATTATTTGATTAAATAATTACGTGGTAGCATGATAGTTTGATACATGCTGGTATGAAAATTATGTGCATAATACATGCATATGTGTTTATGTRTGTGCATGCATGAAGTATGTATGCATGTATGTGTTAGTAGATATATGCATAGGTGTATATGAAGTTTTAATATGCATACACGTGGCTTGGTAAAGTA